AACAGTATGGAGGTTCCTCAAAAAGTTAAAAAATAGAACTACCCTATGATCCAGCAATTGCACTACTGGGTATTTATCCAAAGAAATATAAAAACACTAATTCAAAAGGATATATGTACTCTGACATTTATAGCAGCAGTATTTATAATAGCCAAATTATGGAAGTGGCCCAAGTATCCACCAGTTGATGAATGGATAAAGAAAATGTAGTGTGTACACATATATACAATGCAATATTATTCAGCCATAAAAAAGAATGAAATCTTGCCATTCACAGTAACATGGATAGAGCTAGAGAGCATAACACTAAGTGAAATTAATTCAGTAAGAGAAAGACAAATACCATATGATCCCACTCATATATGGAATTTAAGAAAAAAATGAGCAAAGGGAAAAAGAGAAAGGCAAACCAAGAAACAGACTCTTAACTACAGAAAACAAACTCAGGGATCACAGGGGAGGTGAGTGGGGGATGGGTGAAATCAGTGATGGGGATTAAGGAGGGTACTTGTGATGAGCCCCAGGTGATTAAAATAAAAATTTTAAAAACTAAAATTAAAAAATTGAGTATCACTCAAAAAAAGTTATTCTGATTCCAATGTTGTTGACATAAAGTATTAATTAGTTTCAGATGTACTTTCCCTGGTTTCTTAAGGTAGAAGTATAAATAATTGAATTGAAATTTTTGTTGTTTTGTAAGTATTTCTTGCTATAAATTGCTCTCTATATAAAACTTCAGCTGCAGGGGCGCCTGGGTGGCTCAGTCGTTAAGCGTCTGCCTTCGGCTCAGGTCATGATCCCAGGGTCCTGGGATCGAGCCCTGCACTGGGCTCCCTGCTCAGCGGAGAGCCTGCTTCTCGCTCTCCCTCTGTCTGCCACTCTGCCTGCTTGTGCTATCTCTGTTAAATAAATAAATAAAAATCTTTAAATAAAAAAAAAAAAAAACTTCAGCTGCAGACGTTTTGTTGTAGTTTGTTTTTATTTTCTTAATAAAAAACTTAAATTTCCCTTATGAGAAAAATAAATAAAATAAATGTTTGGTAGAATTCACCTGAAGCTTTCTGATCCTGGACTTTTGTTTTTGGGCAGACTTTTTAAATTACTGATTCAATTTCATTACTTGTAGTCAGTCTATTCAGATTTTCTATTTCTTTGTGATTCAGTCTTGAAAGGTTAGGTGTTCTAGGAATTTATCCATTTTTTTCTAGGTTGTAATGTTGTTTTTGTTGCCATTTTTTATTCCTGGTAATCTTCTTTGCTCTAAAATCTATTCTGTAGGATATTAAATAGTCATGCCAATGATCTTTTGATTGGTGTTTGCATGGTATATCTTCATGCTTTTTCTTTAAACCCACTTATATCATTATATTTGAAATTTCTTATAGATAGCAAATAATTAGGTCGGGTTTTCTTTTAATCTACTCTCACAATCTCTGTCTTTTAAATGATGTGCTAAGACCACTTACATTTAATTCAATTACTGTTATATTTAGATGTAGGTCTGTGATTTGTTTGTTCCCTGTTCCCCTCTTTTAAAAAATCTTCTTTCTTCTTTCTTTCCTTTTTTGGGGGGGGCTCTTTTTTTGTATTATAGCTTTATCCATTATAATTTTGACTACATTGTTTTCTATAATTCTTTTAGCGATTGCCATAGGACTTACAAAATGCATACTTAACTTTCCAGTCTACTTAGAATCAGTATTTTACCACTTCAGTCAGAATGTAGAAATACTTTTGGGGCACCTGGGTGGCTCAGTTGGTTAAGCGACTGCCTTCGGCTCAGGTCATGATCCTGGAGTCCCGGGATCGAGTCCCACATCGGGCTCCCTGCTCAGCGGGGGGTCTGCTCCTCCCTCTGACCCTCTTCCCTCTCGTGCTCTCTGTCTCTCATTCTCTCTCTCAAATAAATAAATAAAAATAAAATCTTAAAAAAAAAAAAAAAGAATGTAGAAATACTTTTGACATCGAGGTCCTTTCCTCTGGCTGCTTTCACAATTTTTTATCTTTATTTCTCAGCAGTTTATGATGTGTCCAGGTATGGATTTCTTTGGGTTTATACTTTTTGGGATTCATTCAGCTCCTTCGATCTATAGGCTTGTCTTTCACCAAATTTGGGAAGTTTTCCACATTATTTCCTCAAATATTTTTTCAGCATTGCACTCTTTCTCTTCTGCTTCTGGGACCGATGACACAAATGTTAGACCTCCATTTCTGTTCCACAGCCCGTGAAGCTCTATTCATTTTTTTCTAAGTTCTGATTAGTTCAGGTATCTTAGTTTTCAGTTTTCGAGTTTCCATGTGTCTCCTCTTTGTATCCCACTTCTTCACAGATACTTTCCACTTTAACATTTGTTTCAAGAATGTTTGTGACTGCTTGTTGAAGCATATTTACAATAGTTTCTTTAAAGTCTCTGTGAGATCATCCCAACGTCTATTTTATCTTGCCATTGCTAAGCGTTGGCTGTTCTTTTCCAAAGCAAGTTGGCATTTTTATGGTTTTTCATTTGATAAGTATTTGGATTGCACTGGTTGAATCAGACTGGATTGGATTTTGAATATTATGACACCCTAAGTCTGTTTACATCCTATGGTGATAGGCTGATATTTTTCCTTTAGCAAGCAATTGACCTACTTAGATTCAAGCTGAGAGTTACGACTCATCTTCTATGACCTGTGGCTATAACACCAGTTTAGTTGTCAGTGTCTTTGCAGTTCTAATCTGACCTGAAACATGTGTGTAGCACTCAGAGGCCAGTCTATCCATCACCTCAGTTCTCAGTTTATTATATGCTAATTAAAATCAGATCCATACACGCACAGGTCAGGGGCAAACCCAGAAGTTCATCAACAACTTTATGGGGTTGCTTTCCCAAGCTCCTCCTTTCTGCGTGATTTTCCTGATCCACGGGACTCCCCTTTCCAGCTCCCTAGAGAGAAACCATTCACTTCCACAACTGTGAGGAGCAGAGCCAAGTGGCTGGAGAACAGAAAGTGAAAAAAAGCAATGGGTTTTGGTTCTATAACCTTTGAGCCCTGGCTCCACCCAGCAGAGAAGGGCTCTCCCTTATATCACCATGTTGGCTCCTGTTACTGCTGCTACCCCTCAGAACTTGTCTGTGGCCTGGGGCACAAAACAAGGGGGAAGAAAACAGCGAGGGACCCACACCATACTCTGAGCTTTAGGAGTTCCTTCTTCTTCCTGCTCTGCAAGCCAAAACTAGTGGGCATCTCCTGGAGCTTCCCTGTCTGCACCCAGCATTCACTCCCAGGCTTCATGCTGTCCTGAGGCATCAGAGGGAAATGCCAAGCTCACACTAGCCCAGGAATCCCTGGAATTTTGGTGCACTTCCCCATCCTCCTTAGTTCCCCATCCTAAGTTGCTACTTACTTCCCAAGTCTCAAAGAGCTGTGCTCTGCACTGGTCCCGGCATATAGCTAGCTTCAGGAAGTGAAGGGCTGGTGCTGTGTGCACACTCCATCTTACCCAAAACCAAAATCTCTGCCTATTTTTTACTATGAGTCAGATAGTGTGTTCATAAAGTTGTCAACTGTGAGGTCCAGACAGTGCTACCTTCCTGCAGAAAGGACCTGAGTGCTTCTGCCTAAGCACACAGCAGGCACCCTGAGGTCACCCTAATGTGGGCATCGTGCTGAGGCAGCTCCTCTCTCTGCCTGGCCTGTCACTTCGCCAGCAGGACTCAGCCCCTTTTCTCGGGGCTGGTGAGCTGTCAAAGCTTCAGTGCTCAGCCTCTCAGTCACCCTGCAGGAATGGGAACTGCCCCCAGGGGAGCAGACCCAGCACTGGGCTCCCTTTAATCCTGGTCTCCATCCCACTCTGGACCCTGGCCTGATCTGCACTGTCGTCAGATGCCCAAATACCTTCAAGCCGACGATCTTTATAATTCATCCAACTTCTCTGATCATCCTCAGTGTTCATCCGAATGAACAGGTCTGCCATCCCTGGAAGTAGCTAATTTTTTTTTTTTTTTCAAATAAACTGGCTCCAAAAGGTTTCCTGAGATCAGCGCACAGATGAGGGAACTAGGGCTTACCTTGGGCACGGCCCATGAATCACTGCAGCACACCAAAAATCAGCTTTACTTCTAGAAGGATCTTCCCCCCCAGTTAACTACATATGTATGCATTAAAACCAAGTAGTAGTTGAGCATATTCTTATTTTAAAAACGGAGCCACTGCAGACAATGCTGCTGCCCCCCTGATCCTTCACCCAGGTTGGGACAGACCCTTTATCTGAGGTCACCAGGTCTCTGTTATTGGCTCCACTGGGATTTTGTTATTAGGCTGACCTTTTCCCCATAGGAACAAATCTCCAAAAGTACGATGGAAGTCATTGGGAGCACAAGATACAAAATGAAAAATGATTTACAAACATTTTTCACAAATGTGCTATAAAGTTAGGTCAAGTTACATAATTGGCAACTTTTTCCTGCCAGCTTACAGGAAATTAAACCTAAAATCTGTTCAAGTGACTATTTTCAGCCTCCCAAGGGACCAAAGAATCAGGATTTAACCGACAGCCCCAAGGGCAAGCTTGCTGGCATCTGTCCACACAGGGGCAGATCAGTATCAGGCAGATTTCCTTGGGAACAATCTAAAATCAGAGTTTTAGCACTGAAAGGAACTTTCCCACCCCACCCCCAGAACAAGCAGAGCCAGGAGGAGCATATCCCTGCAGGTGAGTCACACAGAGCGAAGGAGTGAGAGGTGGGAGCCACGTGCCCACACTGGTAAGAGAGAGCAAGGGCAGAGACCTCCCAGTACACTCTTGAGCAGTCCGGGTGTGTCCCCTGCACCATGAAGGTAAGGACTGGCTCAAGCCTGTGTGCCACCTTGACTGGGCTCATTAGGAGGAAAACCAGGCTAGGGATGCAGACATGACGTGGTCCCAGGCTGCTCTGGGCTGCAGGGTGACTGTGCTGGGGGGAGCCAGCACGCCACATTACCAGGGAGAAGGGCTTGGAACTTCCAGCTGCTCCTACCTTGGCTGGCTTCTGGCTGCATGGAGCTTGGAGGAAGTGGGGGCGAAGATTCAGGGGCCTCCACCGCTGGGTGCTCAGCCACTGGACAGATGATGAACCACCGCTTCCCTGTGTGCAGGACTATGGAGCAGGGCAAAAGCAGCAAGGGAGACCAAGTGAATTTCTCCTGTGGCCAACGGGACCCCCCACCATTGGCACCAGACCTGCACTGGAGAACTCACACCAGTGGGGGGGCATATGCAGCCCAGTCAGGGGCTACTGGCAGGGCTCACACAACACCCCCAAACACAGGCTTAGCTCCTGGGATGCCTGCAGTGCCGTCAGCGAAGGGTAATGCCAGCCGGGGCCACAGGAGGCAGCGGTGAGTCCACACCGCGCTCAGTCCCCACCAGCACCAGGCCCAGCTCCTCAGGTCAGCCCTGCCCACACCTGGGGAGACGCTCCCCACGCACTGCAGCAACCACCCCCACCCCTGGTGATGACCAAACCCCCTTACGATATGCTCAGTGGGGTCTGATCAAATGCCCACTAAAAGACAGAAAAAGAATGGGGATGGAAATGCCTCCTCCAAAGATGTGTCTGGCTGGCAGAAGGGGCCCAGAAGGCAGACGTACCGTTCTGCTGATACACAGGAGCGTTTGCCTGGGACTGGTGACTCTCCTGGTGGAGGTAAAGGGTCAGAAATCAGCAGACCACATGAACAAGGACTTCCTGCAGAGCACAGCATGGCCTCAAAACATCCGAGGGGCCTCTGGAGCTCTGACGTTTCCCACCGAACTGAAGGTGCCCACCCTCCCGGCCACCTCACCCAACACTGCGTGACTCACAGGCACCTCGGGCAGGCCTCGTGTGCACAAAGCCTAGGTTTAGGGCGTCAGCAAGCCCTGGCCCTCCCGGGACCCCACACCCGGGACTCACCTCCCCGGTGCCCAGGCCGCAGGTGCTGAGGTGCGGTGGGCTCGTCCCAGGGTCAGAGCCACGGTCGACGTCTGTGTCCTCACTGAGCATGTCCTCTGCCTTGTCCATGACGTCTTTCATCTGTTCGATGAACGTCTCCCGCTCTGCCTGCAGGATGAAATCGTGCTCCACCTGCAACGGGACAGGGAATGCTGCTGGGGGGCCGCGGGAGGTGGGGGGAGGCGCGTGCCGGTTCTTCCCTGGTGGATCTACTTCACTTCTGCTCTGCACTCAGCCCGAGAGAGGAGCCCCAGCCAGGCGGCTGGCTCCACGAGAGAGGCAGCCCTCGAGGTGACGGGCCAGCACCGCCTGGGGCGGGCAGCCACCTGCAGAGGCCAGGGGCCCCCCGGACAGGAGACGGCCTTGCCGGCCCGCGAAGGCACCCGACCTCACCATGTAGGTGGCGATCTCATCAGGCGCGTCCCCGTCCAGGTCGAACTTGAACGTCACCATTTTGTGGTTGTGTGTCTCTAGCTGGCACTCCACCATCTTGTCGCCCGTGTTGCACACCTACGGGACACTCAGGTGCTGAGACCGGAGCAGGCCGCGTCCGGGGAGCCCTGCACCACCGGCCCGCCCTGCCGGCCACTCACGTTCAGGATGGTCAGCCGGGGGCGGCTGGCTCTCTCCTGGCGGGAGCGCGCGCGTGTTGACCGGCGGTGATGTTTCCGGGAGGCCCTGCCTTCCAGCCGCCCTCCGCCGAACGCACCCTCACAGCTGTCGCTCGTCTCTCTGCCAGAGGGCACGTCGGACCCTCCATAGCTGTGTGGAGACCAAGAGCATGACAGCAATCTGCAGAGAGCCTCACGCGGGAAGCGTGGATTTTCAGGAATGGCCAGAAAACCTGGAGGGCCCGAAGCCAGCCTTGACCCCAGCTTCGGGGCCCCCAGCCCCTTCTGCTGCAGTTCTGTCTTGGGTAGCACTGGTGTCGTGGGGAATGGGTGGGCTGTCTGACCCGGGACCTCTGTGCTCGCTGACTCTTGACCTGTGACTCAGGCCCCACGGGCTCGCAGAAAGTGACAGGATTAAGAAAATCCTCCCCTGTGCCTCAGCTTCCCCATCTGTGTACCAGCAACGGGAGCTCGACAACCCCCTGGGACTACTGCACTGGGCTACACGGCCACTGCCCGCATCCAATCCCTCCCCAACCGTGACATGTTCTGTGACGACGGGTGGCCGGCAGCCATGGTGCCGGGGGGCCTGGGGGTGGGCCAGACTGCCCTGCCCTCCATCCTCTGCTGGCCCCCAGGCCTGCTGACTCTTTGTCCACTGCCTCTCCCTTGTAGAACATCCCGGGCACCACAGACAGGCACTAGGATCAGGACACGGACGGGAGCACGAGGCAGCCAGAGCCCAGAGGACCAAGTCGGGCTTGGAAATGGGTGACACCGCTAGAAGCCCTGACTCGTGAGGGGAAGGTGCAGTGGGCGCTGGTGCGAAGCGCAGTGGGTGGGCTGAGCGCAGGGTGAGCCCACGGCCGCCCCCACCGTCCCCAGGGGCCAACAGGGCCGTTACCTCTCGCAGCTCTGCGGGGGGCCGGGCTGCTTGTCCTGGGAGGCCTGCTCCTGAAACAAAACCGCGGACAGGAGACGCGTCACGGTGGTAGAGCCGAAGACTGCTGTCTCCCCACCTCCCCGCCCGGAGAGCCGACCACGTGAGGCCTGTATGAGGGTTTTTATCTTGTGGAGTTCCTAAAGGCGGGGGCCCCTCCTTGGCCAACATGTTAACGCACTTTGATTTTCCCCACTGGCGAGCACATGGGCCCAGGAAGGCTTGCCACCGGCCTTCCCGCCACCCCTGAGGGAAGGCCCCGCAAATCCACGTGTAAACGCCACGCTCTCCAGCGGCATGCGTTCGAGGAAAGCCTGACATTCGGGGACAGCGGAGGACAGAACAGCGGGCCCAGGACACACACTTCCATCTTCCCGAGCGCTTCGCGACTTCCAGAGCTGAGACCTGATACCACCGCACGGGGGGCCGCTGGGGTCAGGGTCAGGGGCTGAGCCCGAGGGCAGGGGGCACACACCTCTGGGGCCGGCTCCACCGTCAGCTGCACGGCTGGGCAGGGGCCGGTAATCCCGGGCCCGGTGAGCGGCGGTGGGCGGGTAGCAGGCGGCAGGAGCGGGGTGGTCTGGATGGGCAGGCCCTGAGAAGCAGCCACCACCGCAGGGGCCAGGGAGCTGGGGAGCTGAGGCAGCTCGGGGACAGTGGGCGGCAACGCTTCCGGCAGAGGTGGGGAGAGGACGGTGGCTGGCACAGGCGCCACGGGGACCTGGGCGGTGACATCTGTAGCGTATGGAGGCGGGTGACCAAGCAGGATCTGGGGACACAGGGGACAGGGATGCAAGTCGGAGACTGGCCACGCCTCTGCCAAGGGTCCTGGACCAAGGCGGGCGAGCACACCCGTAGTCCCTCTCCAATACACCCACGGCCGCAGAGCACGTTAGCACCCAGATTCGGCAGAAACCCTCGGGTCCCTGTTTGCGTACAATCAAACCTAAAACCACACTTCGTTTACGAACCCGTAGCTGAGTCCAGCTGAAGCTCCATGGGTGGCATGTACTTAGCACCAAACACAGCCCCCCACTGCCACCCAAGGGGCCTGACCCACACGCTGCCCCCTTTCCCAACCTGTCAGCCACACTCAAGAGGGACCCGGGGACCTTGGCCTTCGGTGGGCTGGACTCCTCATGGTCCCCTCTGTGACAGCTCCTGGTGGGATGGTTGAGACAAGTGGAAGGAGGGCCCCCCCCCCCCGGTGTAGACGAGCGGGAGCCTCCATCCCGCCCTACCTCTGGGATGAGGTCAGCAACGGGCAGGCCCACTGCTAGCCCTTCTGGTGTGGGATAGATCAGCAACATGGTGTGTGGGGTCGGATACCGAAGCCGCAGCCTGGTGGCCCCATTCTCTCCTGGAAGAACCCCAGCTGCTGTGTTCAGGGGAGTCCGCTCTCAGCACAGGGAAGCCCGTGAGGTGGCCAGCCCAGCCCGTCAATAAACCACAGACAGCAGGGAGGCCACCAGGCCTGGCCGACGACCTCTGAGTTCACAGTGCCTTCTCCAGCCATCGGCTGAGCAAGCGACTCAGCGCACCAGGCCGGCAAGGCAGCAAGGCACCAGGCCAGGCCCTGACACCGCAGATCCCAGGCCTCCGCTCGGCCCTTCCCTTGGCTTTCCCCAAACAGCCTTGACCTGCGAACGGGCGTAAGCCCGAGTAACAGACTGGCAGGTGCTCATGCAATCAGGCACCAGACCGCAGCACCTCCTCACACCTGGTCATCAACCCAAACTACCCCTCCCTTCGCCAAGAACAAATCCTTTCTGGAATCAGACACTGAGAGTCGACGGCCCAGAGAACCCATGTGCTCTCAGGACGGGGAGTCTAATTCCAGACTGGATCCAGACTGGGTAAGTGCAGGGTGATGCCTGGACCCTCCACGCGGTCTGGGGACAGAGCTCCACCACGAAGCCTAAAGGGGGCCACTGGCCCCACCACACGGGAGAGTCTAAGCTCGGAAGGCCAAGGGCTCGCTGCAGGCACACAGCGGTTGAGGCTGAAAGCCAGGTGGGGGTGGTCCCCCAGGTGAGAGGCCCCCAGGAAACAGGCTGCAAGGTGGAGGGGCTCCCAGGCGAGAGGCCCCCACTCCGGCCCCTCTCCTCGCACAAAGCTGGAAAACAGCCCTGGAGCTCCAAACCACACGTGGGCTGTGCGGCTGTGGAGCCCCGGGGAGGCCTGCCCATGCAGCAGGGCCTGTCACCCTCGTCCCGTCACCGTGAGCATGGCAAGCAGCCTGAGGTCCCCACCGGACCCAGACGTCCTCCTCGTCTGCTGTGTGCCCCTCAGAGCCCTGTCTGCCTCACTGCCTGGCTGCTGAGATGGGGGTGAGCCCACGCCGGGGCTGCCAGACCCCGCGCAGGGCCGGCAGGTGCCCTGACGCCCACCATGCCGCCACAAGCAGCTGCAACTGACCCTCGGAGGGCCCGACGGGGGAACCACAGTCACCCCAATTCCCGCAGCTCTGGGGGAGGCGGGCGTCCTACACGCTGGAGAGACGCCACGCCCAGGAACAGGCCTGCCCTCCCGCCCCCGCTCTGCCCGGGTCAGGGTGCTGAGGAGCAGAGGCCGGGGCCCTCCCGCGCCCCAGAGTCGGACGCTAAGACATGGCCCGGCACCCGGAGGGCGGGCCTGCGTGGCAGGCGGATTACCTGGCTTCCCGCCCCGCCCGCGGGAGCAGCCTGCTCGGGGAGGCGCGCAACGCTTGGCTGGTGGGGCTGCGGCAGGGCGGGGGGCGCCAGCCGCGCGGGGGCGGCCCGCGCGCTCTGCGCCGCGCGGAGGGGAGAGGGGGGCACGTCGCCGGGCACCACCTGCGGGCAGGCCGCCGGGTGCGCGGGCCGGGCCGGGAGCGGGGCCACGGCAGCAGGGTGAACGGGCAGGGCGCCCGCGCCCAGCAGAGGGACGGCGGCGGCGCCGGCTGCCGCGTTGGGCACAACGGTCCGGCCCGGCCCAGCCAACGGCGCCCCGGCCGCGTGGGGCAGCTTGGCCGGCGGCGCGGGCAGGGGGGCGGCGCCGAGGGGGAGGCTCGGCACGATGACGGCGGGAGAGAGATACTGAGGGGGCCCGCCGGCGGCCGGCAGGTCGGGGAGAGCTGCGGGGAGGCCGTCCACGGGGGCCAGGGGCGCGAAGGGCGGCCCCGCGGGAAGCGGAGGCACCTGGAAGAGACGGAGGCGCCGGCGTCAGCAGGCCTCTGCCCCGCCCGCCGCACGCCCGACCGCCCGGAGGACCCGACCGCGAACCCGGGCCACACGGCGCTTCGGAGGGCACCCCAGGCGCCGCGGCCGGCCCGCACGGCAGGCGGCTGCAGGGACGGCGGGGGGCTCCGCCCGGGCTCGCAGGGCCCACCAGCTCCGCAGCTGGCGCGTCTTCGGAGGGCCAGGACGTCAGGGCCACCAGACCGGCCCTGAGGGTCTGAACACACGGAGACCAAATTGCGTTGGGCCGTGGCAGGGCAGCATGTCCTTGAGCGCCCACGGGCCGAGGCAGCGCCCCTGCGCTGCGGGCCGGGAGCGGGCCTCTCCCGAAGCGGAGCTCTGGAAACTTGGTCTGGTCTCGCATCCTGGAGACGCCTGGCGCCTGACCTCGTGGAGTCAGCGCTCCAACCCTTCAGACTCTCCAGTAGTTCTGTCTCTAAACCTTTCTGGTGGGGGCGCCTGGGGGGCTCAGTCGGTGAAGCGCCGCCTTCGGCTCAGGTCGTGGTCCCGGAGTCCCGGGATCGAGTCCCGCGTCGGGCTCCCTGCTCGGCGGGGAGCCTGCTTCTCCCTCTGACCCTACCCCACTTGTGCTCTCTCTCTTAAATAAAAAAAAATCTTCAATAAAATAAATAAACTTTTCTGGTGGCCGGCACACAAACTCCATCACGTGATATGCGCCTCTGCACAAAGCAGCTGCCGTGCGCGAGCCGACTTCTGTGTACTGGACGGTGAAAACAACCTGATGTGGCTGTGATGGGGACGAGGCCCGGTGACAGAAAGAAACTTCCGGATGATGCCCGCAAAGTGCAGGGACACTCACGTCTTCAAACGAGGCAGCACGTCATGGCCCAGTCCCACCGCCACGATGTGATGGACCCATGAGATGGAAGCCGTGGATGGCACCACGCACCATCCAGAGTCACGGGTCACTTGAAGCTGTGGACACCCCAGGACCACGGTCAGCACAGCCTGGGTGGCTCCGTGACGGACAGGGTCTGTAGCGTTGTGCTCCACCCTGGCTCCTCCGGCCCTGACCCGGGACCAAAGCTCTCCCTGGCCTGGATGGACATGCTTGGGGAAGATGCCAAGGGCAGGTGGGCACGGCCGCCCCCCCGCAGGGAGCGCTCCGACCTGTGGACCCACGAGCACTCGCAGCCGGAGGACAGAGTGGCCAGCCAGGCTGGGGATGCGGACAAGGTGGGGCGGGGCGGGGCTACCTGAGCAGGCACTTGAGAGAGCGGCCGCAGATGTGCCGGTGGCATCTGGAGGGGCTTCAGCTGAGCAGGGGCCAGCACCTGGGACGTCGGAGCGAGGTAGGGAGGCAGGTGGGGGGGCACTGGCTGGAGAGGGCCCACAGACGGTGCGGCCAGGACAGGCGGCAGGGGCGCCGGCTGGGCCAGCGGAGGAGGCTGGGGAGAGAGGGAGCTTCTCTTAGACCCACGTCCTGCTGAGACACCCCCCCACCACGTGCTTAGACATGACCGAGAAAATCGACTCCCACACACACATGCACACACACACACCCAGCCTGGAGCCCGACACACGCAGATCTGGGGGAAATACTCCGCGTAAGCGGTGCCCCTCCAAGTGCTATGGATCCAGGAACCCCCACTCCCACCTGCACCCCAGGCCCCAGGGAACCACAGAGAAGGAGCAAAGGGGGCCCGGGCCCAGGCCCACCTGAGACCCACAGGCCCTGGGCCAGCAGACCTCGCTGCCCACCCACACCGGGCTGGAAAGACTGAGGCACCCATGGGTGGGGCCAAGCAGGGGCAGCCCACACTCACCTGGTGGCCAGGGGGTGCAGGCTGGCCTGGGCCGGTCGGCACGGGGGCGAAGCTTATGGCCGGCTCTGGGAAATGCTGCTGTGGGAGCGGAGGGTGGGCTGGGGGCGGGATGGAGCCCACCGGCAGGCCAGGCTGCAGAGAGCACGGATGACCACGCTCACCAGCTGCCCGGAGGCCCCCACCTGGCTTGCACACCACAGCTCCTGGGCCCCGTCCCTCACTCCCTGAGCCTGTCACCCTAGCTGGGACTTTTCCCTAGGCCCAAAGCTTGGCACAGGTGAGATGTGGCAGCCCCTAAGCTGAGAATGGCCACTGCTCCTAACCGAGGAATGTTCTGGAACTTCAGCTCCACAGGATATTATGCAACTGTGAGAAAAGAACATCCTAAGGGGCTTTGCAGAACCAGGGAGAGACACTGTTCCAACGTGCGGTGGGAGAAAGATACAGACACACTTGCTTTCCGTCTACAGGACCGGATGAAACACATGCACACAGATACGTCACAAACAGGATTCGGAAGGACATGAACAATGGGGGATGGCGGCGGGATCCCCAGTGGTGTGGCCACCAGGAGAAACGGGCCGCGGGCCTGAGTCCTCACTGCCAGCAGCAGCCCAGACACGGCCCAGGAAAGAGCCCGAAATCTGAGCACTGGGTGTTGGATGCTATCAAGGAACAGCTGCTAATGTGTTCACTTTTAGGTGTAATAAGGCGGTCGGAGTCTGTTTTCAAGAATCTCGATCCCACAGAGATACGGACTGAAATCCTTACAGGCAAAACGTCTTTCTGGGGTTTCCTTAGAAATACTGGGGCTGCGGAGGAAGCAGGTGTGAACACGGGGAGGGCGTGTGGGGCGGAGGGCCCAGGCCTCCACACCAACCCGAAAGGTCCTCTGGTTTTCTGGGGACTGGGACCTTCCACTCACTGCATCCTCCACAGTAAATGCTCCGCGAGAGCAGCATAAGGAGGGACGTTCATCTGAAGCCACAGTGCAGAATGAGCCGCGGTCCCGGGCCCCGCAGGAGGCAGCAGCTTCGGTGCCCGGAGGCCTCAGAGTGGCTGGTGTGCAGACTCCTCCATCAGCCCCGGGGGGGGGGGGGGCATCACCAAGGCAACCCTCCTGGAGGCCCTGATGCACCCCGGGGACCCCCACGCCCCCCCGCCTGTCCCAGGGGACTGTCCGCAAACAGGCAGGGACACGGGACAGAGTGCTCTGGCCTCGCCCGTGTGGGGTGCATCCGGCCCGGCGCCACGAGGGCCTGCGTGGAGGGTAACGGTGGCCAGGGAAGCCCGACCCTGCACCTAGGAGGGAGGGGGCCAGCGGAACATTCCTGCTCCGCCCCGGGACTGGCCGCCCAAGGCCAAGCCGCCCCACTCCGGGGCGACAATCCGCCTTTTCCTAAACAAGTTCCTCCCGCCGTTTAAAATCCGTGTCACTTCATCTCAAGAAACTAGCAAAGCAACAAACGGCAGCTGGACATCAGTCTGGGCTCCCGGCAGCGGAGGCAAAGGCGCTGGCCGCCCCAGGGGACAGGGACGGAGCCCAGGCAGCACCAGGACGGCGGGGGCCTGGGGCCCAACTGTCCCTCCGGACCCTCCCCCGCCCACTCAAGGCCGGCGCTCTGCAGCTGGCCTCCTGGGACTGGGAAGCCTGGGCCCTATCTGCTTCCTCCAGCATGAACAGAAGCGTTGAAGAACGAACACCACACGTGACCCCCTGTCCTAGCTACGCCCGGGTCGCCGTCGGGCCAGGTCTCCACATCACAAACCACCTCCCAGGTTTCTCCAATGTCACTGCACTCTTTCCGCAATCCTGCCACTCTCCCACTTCTGGGATCTGGTGGAGAACGGCCAGGAGCTACTGAACTCAGCGGGGTGGACACGGGCTGGACGCTCCTCTGGGACCCCAGCCCGGCCACAGGGCCAGACCCTGCCAGGTCCGTCACAGTTCTGAGGCCCCGGCTGTCCCTGGGCTCTGTGTTTGTACTCTCTCACCTGCTGCAGCCTCCAGTGACCTTCGAGGGCGGCCCGCCCAGGGGGCCTGACCACAGGCCGCTGCAGCCTGGACGGCCCGGGGGATACGGGGCCACGGGCACAGGGTCTCTGCCCGAGGGGGTGGGCTGACTCACCGTGGCAGGCTGCTGGTAGGTCCCCAGAGAGGGCAGGCTGTAGGGCAGGACCGGGCCGTCGCTGACGCTCACCGGGGGGCTGCACACACACTGGGTGGGGGGCGGTGCCGCATCTGCCAGCGAGCCCAGCACCACACTCTGCTGGCTGCTTTGTGAGTCCGAGTACACCGTGGAGCCCTGGCCACTGTCGAAGGTGCTGTCCGCTGGGGAGGACAAGGGCACGGCTCAGAGTGGACATCCCCAAACATCAGCCCCACGGCACTCCACCCAAGTCTCAGGAGCGCGAACAGGCTCAGACACGATGCTCTGCTGGTCTGTGCTCTTCTGCAAACTAGGCTTGGTCGCGCTCCCTGGTCACCTGAGTCCTAAGTGCATGTCATTCTGGACCACAGACCCTAGGATGCAGGGGGCGGGGGCTGTAACCCACCCGGAGACACCCTGGCGCCCCACCCCAACACCACCTGGCGTCTGGGGGTCACCCACATGGGTGCCACGAATCCTGGGTGGGCCCCTTACACAATCCTCGGCAGGAAGCACAGTCACGTCCACCCCGGCTGCAGACAGGGACCTCACCTGTCCCCTGACCAGGCCTTGAGAGTGAGAGCTCAGTGAGCTCTTCAAAGGCGTGAGGGGTCTCCTGTAGGAGGTTGATGGCAGGCATGCCCAAGTCAGGAGAAGCTAGAGTCACCTGTATTTCATGGGGAGGGACTCTGACCAGTTTCACCACCACAGCAAGGAGCCCGAAGCAGGAAGAGCTGGGTCCAAACCCAGTCCTCACGACACGGGCCCGGGTCTAACCTGGCTGGAGAACGGGGCTGACGAGGCCCCCACCCCGCAGAGAGGCTGACAGGGGGACCCAGAGGCTCTCCGGCCCGAGGAGGCCTCCCAGAGGCCAGCCTCCCCTGCACCTGCGGTCACAGTCCATCAGCGCGGGCCACCGTGGACAGAGCCACCCACCACACACGAGGCACAGCCCACGGCCACAGGCTCGCCTCCCCAAGACGCACCTAGGAAGACAAACCGCCCCCGAGGCCAGGCCAGCGAGCAGGGAAAGCAGAACCCTGCATGAAATGGCACTTCCAGAAGCTGCACGCACACCAAGACTTGCCACCCACGCACCGAGCACTTCAACGCAGGCGCCTTCCAGGGCGCCAGCATCGCGCCCATTTGTGATTCAAGCAAATGGAGTAAAAGGGAATCCCACTGGCTTTACATCAAAATAATCTGTCCCAGGGGCCGATCAGGGCATATTTCAACCTGGGAAGACACGCGAACGCCAAGGTCTCATTGCACAGAACCAACCCAACCAGCGGCTCCGACTTAGAGTGAGGAAGCTGGCAGTCGATTTTACCTACACACAGAGACAGAGAGAGAGACAGACAGACACACAGAGAAAGAGAGAAACAGATAGATACTCAGAGACACACAGAGACAGAAGTAACAGAGAAAGAGACACAGAGACAGATAGAAACAGACACACAGAGACATGTAGACAGAGACACAGAGAGAGAAAGACACGGAGACAGAAATACAGAGATAGAAACACAGAGACAGACACAGAGACACAGAGGGAAACACAGAAACAGACAAACTGTGTGAGCAAAAGGGAAACGTGTACAAACTTGGCAAATGTCACATAAACCAACTCTAACCATACACACAGCACTGTAAATTTTTAAAGGGTATGTGTTTGTTATTTCTATAATTAAAAATTCATTTAGGGCGCCTGGGTGGCTCAGTCGTTAAGCGTCTGCCTTTGGCTCAGGTCATGATTCCAGGTCCTGGGATCGAGCCCCGCATCGGGCTCCCTGCTCCGCGGGAAGCCTGCTTCTCCCTCTCCCACTCCCCCTGCTTGTGTTCCCTCTCTCGCTGTGTCTCTCTCTGTCAAATAAATTAAATAAATAAATAAATAATTTAAAAATCGTCTTTAGGGGCACCTGGTGGCTCAGTCAGTTGAGCATCCAGCTCTTGGTTTTGGCTCAGGTCATGATCTCAGGGTCGTGGGTGTCTGGCTCTTCGCTCAGTGGAGAGCTGCCTGGGATTTTCTCCCTCTCCCTCTGCCCCTCCCCCCGCCCAGACACGCACACTTTCTAAAAATAAATTTAAAAAACAAAAAATTGAAAAATTAAAAAATCGTCTCTAAACCTCCGCAGCCACTGGGTGCTGGCCCACACCCTCTCGCTGAGCCTGATGTGGGCTGAGGTGGCTAGCTCTCACACCACGTGGTGGAGAATCCTACCGCGATGTTCGCCGTACCTTCCGCTGTGCGCATGTCTGCCCGCCCATCGGGTCCCTTCCCCAGTGATGTGTGCACAGCCTGGAGTCCCATCATTTCACCTTTACAAGGCGCAGAGTTTTCAGGCCATCCCCACACACTGAGGCCAGAGGGACAGCCGAGCACGGGCCAGAGCACAGTGCAGACGCGTGTGTGGGGCGTGTGGGGTGCGGGGACACGGAGGTGCGTGTGTGTGCGGCATGCACATGGGTGCAGGTGTATGTGTATGCACACGCATGTGGGTGTGTGAGCGATCAGACGTGCACGTTACTTTCGGAAGTTACCACTAAGAGGTAACGTCAGCGGCCTCCGGGGAGGAGCACTAATCGGCCTTTCCTGCACACCCTCTTGTACTGTTTGAATTTTACACAACGTGTAATTTACAGAAAGCACCGCAAACGAGTGAAACACGTTTTGAGAGTGTGGCTGCCGTCGAAGCGGGAGAGCCGCTGAGAGTCGACAGGAAGAGGACATCTGCGACAGACCACCCACCCACACTGAACCCGCCTGCGATCCCTGTCTGTACGGTGGGCCGGGCCAGTGCCGGGACCCCCGCCCACAGCAGAGTGTGGTGGTCTCTCCATTGCCGCCTGGAAACTGTCCCCCTCGACAGTCAAGTTTTTAAAGTGGGAAGTGGCGTGTCATGAGGAAAGCTTTTTCCAACACGAAGTGTATGCTCATTAATTAATTTTTTGGTCTGTCGAAAAATGGAGCGATGATGTAGTGACTTTATTCTCTGAGGAAACCTGAGCAGGTCGGAAGGAAGCCAACGGCAAGCAAACGGTCTCCAAGTGACAGGCAGCTACTGGTTTGAATTTAAATAGCCTACTTTGAAGAACATTAGCTATGATTTTAATGATAAATGAAGTATGTGCCTATTAAGTAAATTGAAGAGGCTATTTTGGTCTCTCGACATGAACAACCTGAAAGAGCGGCCTGGGCAGGCTAAGTTCTACTTGGCACTTATTCACGGGATGGACAGGAAACGCCACGTCCTGATCCTCAGCTCACAGCTGCATTTTTAGGCCACCGAGGGCAAAGGTCAGGACACCGTTCTGCCTGGACGTGCAGAAAACGCTGGATCCTCCCTCCCAGTGTTCTGAGATTCAGCGTGATTCCCAGCAACCCACCGCTGACACTCTGGGAAATGTGGTAAAGGTTTCAGAGGTCGGGTACTACAAGGGGCATGACCTTGGGGACAGATAATCCCAATGGCAATGGTCACGGCTCAGAGCATCATGACCGCTGGAGACCACAGCCATCCGTGGCCCCAGGGCAACAGTGTCCCTGCGGGGATGCCCCACCAGGCACAGGACTGACGTCCCCTGCACGGAACAAGGAGCCGGACGGAGCGCTCCATCACGTTGGCTTGGGGCACGGGAGGCTCTGGATCTGTCTGCCCGTTTGTCCCCACCTGTCCTGAGAAGCTGGGCTTCGGGGAGCCAAAGACACCCCAGGGCCCGCCCCCGGAAGAAGGCTCGCCGATACCTGCGTCCACGCCCGCGGCGTGCACAGGGCTTGAGGGTGCGGGGAGGGCGGCACTCACAGGCCAGGGAGGTGGCGCTGGCCGGCAGCGCGGTGGGGAGGAGGTGCTGGTCCGCCTCAGGTTCCTCAGGCTCCGGCGGGCCGCCCTGCGCATGATAGGTCACCTGGACCTGCAGGGGTGCAGGTGGGCCCCTGGCCTTGTCAGGGCTGCCTGGGTCCCGCTGCTCTGGGGGCTGCAGAGCCGGCCAGATCCTCTCCCGCCGCCACTGGATCAATGCCACACGGTCGCGGATGGACTTGGCCACAATCTTCACGTCACTCTCGTGGAAGAATCCCGACTCGATCTGCAAAGGGAGGCGTCATGTCATTACTGGAGCCCTGCCGTCTGCACCACCACCTCCCGCTCACGGTGTCTCTGCAGAGGTCCCTCCTCAGGCCCTCACCCCACCTCTCAGAGACTCTCTCATCTTCCCATTAGGGAACACCCTCCCGCCAACGGCAAATCTGCAGGGAGCACGGCCCTCTGAGCCTGCACGGCCCCGCTCCTGGGACAGTGAGGACGCGGCAGGGGTTGGGCCCGCCGGGTGAGGGGAGGGGAGGGGAGAGACCCTCAGCTGCCTCCCGCAGGCGGGCCCTGGGCATTCCCCGAGAAGGCATGGATGGAACAAGGCGCACCCTGTGTCTTGAGGCCAGGAGGGTAGGCACCCATGCCCAGAAAATTCTGAACCCAGGTGAGCATCGGGAGAGCGTCTGGGAAGGAGCCCTGGACCTCGGGGAAACGTCACGGCTCTCCCTGAGGAAATCCCTGGTAAAACCATGGAACAGCAGAGGCCAGCGTCCACACCAACGCCATGGCAGCCCCGTGTGGGAAGGGAGAAAGCGCCAAGGTTTTGGCACTGGTCAGGAACGGCGAGCTCGTGGCTTTCCACACACAACAGAGAGAAGCGCGCCCAGATGCAGACGTGAGCGTGTGGAAGGACACGGTGCAAGCCTGCAGAACACTGGGCAGGCCTGCGGAGGCGCCCGGAGTCTGGCCAGCGCGAGTGGGTGGGGGGAGGAGGACGAGGGGCCTAGACACCTCGCTGGGCCTGAAAGAGAGGCGGACCCAGAGAACTGAGGGGACGTGCAGGAGGACCCAGGCGTCAGCACCACGGGCCAAACGTGCACAATCTGGGCATCAAAAGGCACAGCGACCCCACGATGGTCGGAGGAGTGTGTCCACAGGTGCACACGAGGGGAGCGCAGCTGTCACTGCTGGTGCGGGCCACATGGCATGCCACGGTGTGCCCTGTCCCTCCCACGCGCGGATGACTGTTCACGGGAAGCTGAATCATCAGTGGCCCAGGGAACAACCCACTGGCTGAATATCGAGCCTCCTGCCAGGAGCCAGGTGGGCGGGCATGGCCGCCGAATGACCCTCAGGCCTGGTCAGCCCCAGCCAACACCCCAGCCACGCGGCGTGGGGAACCCAGAACCAGAAGGACCCACTTAGCCACTCCCGGACCCCGGACCAGGAGGACGCAGGAGACCACAGGCCTGTACGGCACCGCGTCTGAGGGACGTACCCTGTGGCCACAGGTAACTCACCAACAAAACCAGTCCACAGAGCTACAGGTAAGCGGAGGGTTTGGTGAAAATGGGTGTTTACCCAGCTCCAAGGTACAGCCCGTGACATATGGTCACCCCACACGCAGACCGTGGGCAGACACCCCTCGACCGTGTGCCCACGGGGAGTGTCGTCCGGGGCCGGCCACGGTGAGGACACGGCCCCACACCAAGTGCTGCAACAGACACGCCGAGTGGCCGCGAGGGAGCTGCGCCGGTGCCCGTCACGGCAGGATAACCAAGACGGTCCCACCCCGAGGAGCTCCTGCCTTGAGGGAGTCACCCCACATCGGGGGGCGCCTGGCAGCCCCGAAGCGGCTCTCCCGGATCTGACCGCGGACGCAGCTGAGCAGGAAAGCTGCTATCTGTAGGCAAAGACGCGGGCACACTCGAGGTGGCAGGGCATCGGCCTGGATGTCCTCTCAGATGGTTCTTTGTTGCACATTTGCAACTTTTCCATGAGTTCGTGACCGATTAGTTCAAAATCTCTCCACCCCGCTGGACAGAACGAACCGTGTTAAAATCCCGCAGACCTCTGGGCAGTCGGCCTCCCGCCTGCCTCGGGCACGGGCAGCAGCGGTGTGAGTGGCAGCACGCGGCCAGGACGCGGACGAGGGGCCGGGGCCCAGGTCAGTGCCGCCTGCCCGCCGGGCCCGGCCGGAGACGGCTGACAGGGAGGCGCCCCGCAGACGTGCCTGCCCGCTGCTTCTATTTTCTGCCCGTGGCCCAGTTTTCCTTCCGTCTCTGTCCTCGCAGTCACACCCCCCCACAATCCTCTCCAAGGTGTTTCTTCTATTTTTTCCCAAACGAGGAGAACTTAGCCCCATTCTCTGCCACGCTGAAGCATCGGACCCGGAGGCCGCAAAGGCAGGAGGGGCTGGTGCGCAGACACCGGGACCCTGGGCTGGGCTGCGAGCCCCTCTCCCGGGGTCCTCACGAGGTCGCTTCCGGGTCAAAGCCAGCCCAGGCCCCCAGAGAACTCGCCCTTCTCTCAGCACCTGGGGCACTCGATGGGTCCCCTGCGCCCGCCCGTGGGCCAGCCGCTGGGAGCTGGTTTTAGGTGACGACATGGGTGTGGGGGTTCACTGGTGCTGGGCCCCGCGTTTGGAAGAAGTAGGTGTGATCCATTACAGCTGTTGGTGAGTGACCACCCAGAGCGGCCGGGGGCAGCAAGCCCTGAAACGCTGCCCACGAGGGCTCCTCGGTCACGCGCCTGGCCCAGAGGCGGCCTGGAGAAGCCCCGGAGAGGGAGGGTCTGACCCAAGGCGGGATCTGGGGCTACGGGCGGGCGGGGCGGCTGGGACCGCCGACAGGAGAGGCTCCCCGCCAGGAGCCGGGAGCAGTGGCCAGGCCCACCGGGGGCGCTCGCACTGGGCCGACACCCCGCCATGGGAATGGGCCACTGTCGGCTCATCACTGGCTCATCCTCGTCCCCGAGTGGAGGGGGGTCCGCATCGTTCTGCCATCGTTCTTCAACCAAACACAGCGATGCGCAGAAGGCACAGATGCCGCATGGCCGGTAGGACGCTCCTCACAAGAAGTGCTTTTAAAGACGACGAGGGAAGGCGCTGGGTCCAGGGGTCTCCACTGTGAACTCACAGACACCGCCCACTGAGTCCAGCCAAGAGCCAGGGGAGCCGCGCTGACGGTGGGTGAGGCGGCAGGCCCAGGTGTGGGCACAGGACCTGTGGGGTCCGGGATGCGGAGGGGTCGCTCAGGAGGATGGGTGGTCCTAGAAAAGGTCCCAGGTCCTGTGTGGGCACCACCACATCCTACAGCTCAAGAGCGTGTCAACGGAACCGAGAATGGACCCAGGCTGGAGGAGATGCCTGGTCCAAATGAGGCACAGAAATCCATCTGTGCCGCGGTCTCATCGTCCCCATGCACTGCCACGGCACTTGACCCCTGCTGGGCTCTCGCCCGAATCCATCTTGGGCAGGAGGGTTCCCTGGCCGCGTGGAGCAGGCACGGTGCTCACGGGAGACCCGGAGCTGCTGGCCTCCCGTGCTTCCCGAGGCGCCCACACTGGCCCGGCCCCGCCAGCCCTGATGGACACAGTCCTCACCGCCGCCCCAGGGACCCACCTCCCTCCCCCCTGCCACCGGGACAGCGCTAGCTCCTGGCCCGGTCCCCCATTCCCGTGGGCCCCCCAGGACTCTCAGCACTCGCCCTTCGCTCCGGCCTGCACGCCCCCTGGCTCGTGAACGTTTGTGCATTAAGCTGGGCAGCAGGTGGGGGGGGACGGCCCTGCTGCAGCACGAGCACCAACAGCAGCCCTGAATCCCGGGACTGATGTGCTTGCTGCTCACCACGGCACAGCTCCCTCTCAGCACCCAGCAGCTCAACATCCTCTCGGATGTGCAAGCGACACGCCGAGCTGGAGCCACGAAGAGCGGCGCTGTCCCGTGTCTGGGCCCAGGGATGTGACCGGCGGCTGGGAAGGTGCGGGTGGTCCTGACCTGGGCTCCTGGCCACCAGCGGATGTCCTGCTCACCACACGTGCGGGCCACTCAGCCTGCCAGCCCTGCCCTGATGCACCACGCACGGCAAGATCCTGGGACTCTCACCCGCTGCCGTCCGCCCGCCGCACCGGGCCTCGGCCCTCAGCCCACACCTGCCGTGGCACAGCTGGCTGTTCCCTCATCCGAGCAGGGGCCTGAGGACCGGTGTGGACTCTCGTCCCACCCTCCAGGGCCAAGTCCACACCACCCTCCTCCTCGAAACCACCAGGGCCAGGGGGTCTCGCCGTGAAGCACCGTTTCTGAAAGCCGTGCTCCATTCGGTAAGGCCTCCCCTGCAGCAAGCGTGGTTTCACTTGCGCTCGCTTTCTACACGAAAATCAGTGTCCCCTTCCTCACGTGCGCCTTTCCCTCCAAGATGCTGAACACCCTACGCCCCTGCTCCCGGGCACCGCGCCCTCAGCAACAAAGTGAAAGATCAAACAAAGGCCACATTCACGCGGCCAGCCAGACTCTGGCCAACACAGGCCCTTCCTCATACCCCCGGGCCCCCAAGTCCCTCCGTGCCCCGCTCCTCGGGGCCCCTCGCCGCGCGGCCTTGGGGCAGATGCATCGGAGCAGCGGGGGCCCCACCTGCGCTGTCCTTCACCAACACACGCACCCCACGGGCGGGATCCGCGCGCCCAGGACTGCCCGCTCACCGCGGGGCCACACCCCTGTTCTGAGCTCCTGCGCGTCTCTGGAGACCACGGCTTTCCGGGCACACCCCTGCCCCCGTGGGTACCCGCCACCCCCCCCCCACAAGCAAGTGCCCCGTTACCATCTCCTGCGCCACACCGTCAGGCGTCTCCTTCTCCAGGTCAAAGGTGAACTCTATGGCCCCATTGTCCTTGGGCTTGCCCTTCAGTTTCTTGGGGTCGTCAACCCAGAGCCGCAGGGCGATGGTCGACTTCCTGCCGTGGTCCTCCTCCGCCAGTTCCACCCTCACACCCGTGTCCTCTGCGAAGAAGGCGTGGCTGAGCAGGTCCTTGATCTCGTACCTGAGAAGGGGCAGCCAACGGGACGGTGAGGGCACGGCTGCTGGCGAGGCCCCAGAGGGCCCAGCTCCCTCTAGAAGGTCCTCTGGCCACGCAGCGGGCAGTGCGGTCCTCGAGGGCAGCGCACAACAGAGCACTCCCAGGGTGAAGGGAGACTGACGCCTGAACACAGCCAGCTGCACGGCACCAAAGGCTGCTTCTCTCTCTCCTTATAAAAAGGCAACGTCCCCATCGCAAGAGGCTCCGGGAAGTGAAGTTTCCAAACCTGGCTCCGCACCCTGCAGACAGGCCTGCGGCAGCGCCACCAAAACCCCAGGGTCACAGGTGAGGCTGAACCGCGGGGCCCTGGGCGTCCCGGCTGCTGGGTGTGGTCACAGTAACCAGTCCCCATCCCCAAACAGGAGCTTGTCCGGGTGCCGTCCTGGGCCTGGCTTCCTCCCCGCGTCCTGTCTGATCCGGCGGCCCCTCCCCTATTCCTGCGTCCCTTGGACAGGCGGAGGAGCCCATGCCCTGTGGACGCTCACCACCCAGAAAGGGGGAGCAGACACATGCCTGAGGGGGCCCCTGGGGAGCAGAGGTGGTGGCCCCTGCTGGTCCTGGTCTGGAAGGTGGTCTTGTGGGGTCTGCTCTGAGGGTTCTTTAGCTCTACATGGTTGTTTCTATACTTCTCTGATGGGAGTTCTACTTCACGATTTCTTAGTTATTTTCTCTGAAAGAATAGAACACGATAACCTGCAGGGGGCAGGAGAGAGAGCCCAAGGATCAGAACAGGGCGCCGGCATGAGAGGTGAGGGCCATGGAAAAGAACACGGATCAAGGGTGAGGACAGGGATAGGATGGCCTTGTGCTGGGTGCACAGGATGAGGAGGGCACACGAGGGGTCAAGGAAGAGGTGTAGGGGGAGGGGGGGAGGGATGGGGGATGCGATGAGGGAAGGGCAGGGGAAGATGAAGGTGGGAGGAGAGGAAGGGAGAGAAGATGAGAGGGAGGGTGGAGGAGTGAGGAATAAGAGGAAGAACAGGGAGGAAGAAGAGGAGGAAGGGAGGAGGGAAGAATAAGGGGAAGAGAAGGGGGAAGAAAGGAGGGGCAGAGGGGGAGGAGGGAGAGAGGAGGAAGAAGGGGAGGAAGGGGGGGAAGGAGGGAGGGGAGGGAAGGAAGGGAGGAGGGCGAGAGGGGATGGGAGGCTTCCTGGCTGACCAGCTGAGGAGGTGAGGGCTGGTGTGGGGGCAGCTCAAGGGCTCTGGCTTGTGGGCTTTGGGTTGAGCATGGCTGCATGGACCTCACAGTCTGGAGGTGACAGGAGGGGCAGGCTGAGGGCACGGCGGAGCCCCTGCTGCAGCCTGGGTGGGTGAGAAGCCCCTGGCAGAGCGGGGAGGCTCCGGGATGGCCCCCAGACCAGGGAGCATGCCCCGGGCAGCAGAGGTGGGACCTGGCCTGAAGCAGCCCATCTCCCAAGAGCGCGGGCAGTTGCGGGGATTTCAGCATGAGCGACACCCAGACCCAGCGCCCCACCGGACTCACCTTTCCTCCTTGTTTTTGCAGATGCACTCCCCAATAATCTCCTTGATTTCGGGATCGTGCACTTTCTCAAAGCTGGCAGGCTTGATGCCCTGCGAGACCAGAGGAGCAGAGTCAGGGACAGGACAGGACTTGTTTCCCGCTCAGCTACACTAGCCAGGCAGGGGGACAGCAGGAGGGGCGCAAACTGGCTGGGGACGCGGCTCACGCTGAGTGCGGAGGGGCTGTCGGGAGCAGCGGGGTCTGGGGGAGAGCCCGACCCAGCCCCCCGCCCCCGACAGGAGCGTTCCCACACCCAGCAGAGATACGGCAGGCGGCCAGGGCGACCACCTTCCTCACCACACCCTCCCGCCCGGTGTGGTCACCGCTGCTGGCCGAGGCCACCAGACACTCTGCCCCACTGCGACCATGGGCAGGGCTGCCTTCCAAGGCCTGGGGGCTCCAGGGTTTTGTAAGCATCTGTGCCGTGGAGTCCCACAGCCGGGCGGTTTGGGGAGCATCCACACTGACCACAGACCCGGTGGGTGCCGGCAGGGCTGGCCGCAGCTTGGCCAGTGATGGCCGTGACGCAGGGGAGCAGAACCCCGGGGCGCAGCCCTGCAGACAGTGGGGACTCGGGAGAAGCAGGGGCTGGACTGCAGGGGCAGGGGCTTGGGGGAGGGACAACGGATTCTTAAACACATGGAGGACCTCAACCATCCCATTCTTCAGCAAGACTCTGCCTTCAAAGTCTCTCTTGGCTGTTCCAACGTAGAGAACATGAGCGGGAGTGCAGGGCGGCCTCCAGCCCAGAGTTGGACCCAGGAGTGTAGGACCCGAAGGGCTGCCGCCCGGCAGGGTACTATGCCCCAGGCCCCAGGCCCACTCCCAGTGGGGGCCATGTGCACACGCTCAGCAGAGTCTGCAGCGACAGACTGGGGCACTGGGCTCCAGGCGCGGCCAAGGGACTCCCCTCGGAGGGGAGAACCCCAGGCTGTACCACTGAAGCCAACAGAAAGAGGTTTAATTACACAGGAGGAAGGGCCAGGGTCCCGGCGGGAGGCAGGCGGCCTGAGAAACTCTAAGTGCACGTAAGTGTGGGCCACACACACCTCTGAAGGCCGAGGCCCCCAGAGTAGGAGAAGAACATGCAAGAGGAACAGGTGCTGCTTTGCAGGGGCTCGTGTCCCCAGACTCAGAAGCATGGAGTCGGGGTGCTGGGAGCGGGGACACCGAATCCCTGCAGGACTGGGGATCAGGGCCGACGCGGGGCTGGAAGGTGAGGGTGTGTGTGCCGCGAGGGGCCAGCGGGCCCACAGGGCATTACTGCAAACCACGCCAGCTGTCCGGAACAGCCCTCCCGTCTGGTTTCCTCGGGGAGCAAGGGTGGGACCTGACCTTGCTTTGCCCAAGCTGACATGGGTCCACACAGGAGCCCTGCTTCCTAGGGCCTCAACGAGGGATCCAGGGTGGCTGAGGAACACCCCAGTGGGAATCAGTCCTATCTCCCCAGCCCAGCGGATGGACCACAGCCCCGTGCACGTGGGCACCCAAGAAGTGGGGCTGGCGTGTTGCTCCCCCGCACCCCTCCAAGGCCTGGGAGTGAGGCCTTAGCCTCAGGTGACCCCTGCCCCATGGAGGGCCACTGCCCACAGCCAACAAGCCCACCCTCTCCTGCCAGCTTTAGCAGGGAGCTGCACGCCTCCCTCTGTGTCTCTGACAAGCACCAGCCAAAAACTCTGCCATCCCCCTCAGCGGCACACAGGAGGGGCTCAAATAACTGAATTAAGACTGAAGGGGAGACATGAGCTAAGACCTGTGGGGGAGCGCAGGGTGGAGGGTGGGGCGCGGGCAGGTGCCCCGGGCAGCCAAGGACCACGCTCCTCGTGCATCTGCAGAAGTGAGGGGGGCGCCAGGCTGAGGCGAGGCAGCCAGGACTCAGGGGCCGTGGGGCCTGGTGCCCAGAAAAGCTACGGCCTCACCAAGCAGGACGGCCGCGGAGGGAGGACAGGGTGATCGGCTTGCAGAGCTGAAGCCACTTGATTAAAGCGGACGACTGTGTGGGCACACACCAGGACACGGGAAAGCCAGCGGCCCCGGGAGTGGCCCAGAGGAGGGTCTCTAGGGACAGGCGGCCGGGCACCTCCCGGAGAGGCCTCGAGTCGTGCACGAGGCCCACCGCGGCCAGGCCTGTCCACCACCAGCTCAGAGACCCGAGCAGCCACCCCGCTGAGGCAGCCTCAGTTTCCCCTCTGTGACAGCACCCTTCCCTTCCTCACACGGTGCTGTGAGCGCTTCACCACGCACGGCCCCTCACGGTGGCCAGTGGACTCACACAGGTGACCTTCCGGTAGATCTGGGCGGCGTTCTGGCACTCGGAATAGGGGTACTCGGAGGTCGCCATCTCCAGCATGCACATCCCAAAGGCGTAGACGTCCACGGACTCGTCATAATGCTCCTCGTACATCTCGGGCGCCATGAACTCAGGGGTACCTGTGTCCGGAAGCAAGGGACGCGGGGTCAGCAGCCACTGGGCCAGGAGCCCCTCCCCATCAGGCCCGGAACCTGCAGTTCTAACAGGACTGCTCTGCAGACAGTTCCCGAAACGCCCCCCGGACCCTCCCGATCCTAGGTCACATCAGCTCACGGCACTAGGGGCCCCCCCAGCTCCGAGCCCGCTACCCCAGAGCCAGGGCACGCTCTGTGCCCCGGACACGGGAGGCGCCGCACACCGAGCAGCACCCCCCCCCCCGGCCACAGGCCCGACCGCCCGCGGCAGACAGACACGCACAGTCCCCGCAGAGCAACCGAAGTAAAAAAATCCCACAAAGGCCCCAGATGTCCCCAGGCAGACACCACATGGCAGCGTGTCAGGCGGCACAGAAAGGAGCGTCTCTGCTGATGGTGCCGGCCAGGCGCCCGCAAGGTGTTCCCAGGACCAGCGGTCCCAAAATGACGCCTCCTCCGAGTCTCACACGTGGAGTGAAACAAAGTATTCGGCTGTTCGTGCACTAGGACCTCTCCCAAAACAGCAAGCACAGACCCCAGAGACACGTCAAGGAGGCAGGGTTCCGGCTGATTTTTCCTTTAGTTACACTGGTCTGGGGATTTTTATTTTTCCGTAACAAGCTTCTGCTCTAAAAATCACAAAATCCTCCTATTAAAAGAGGTCCAACCGAGTGCCTGTCCAGCCGAACTCAAAGCAGAGGGAAACGTCGGGAACGTCTCCACCTTCTCCGCTTCCTCCACCCCAACCCTTTCAAAATGTTCCCGTTTCTTTAAAAAGCAGGTGCAGAACAGTGCGGGCTGTGTTCAAAAGCACGTGTGGGGTCATCAAATGTTTTCATGGCTCTCTGGGACGCAGAGAGGTGACAGTACACTTCAACTTGTTCTCGTGCACCCACAGTTTCAATGTAACACGTATTATACGCTTAACGAAACAAGTGGACATTTCGGTAAGAAATGGCAAAATCGAGAATCTATCTTCAGGTTTATGTGTGTGTATAAAGAATTCTAGGAGATTCTGGGGGCGTCTGGGGGGCTCAGTCTGTTGAGCGTCTGCCTTTGGCTCAGGTCATGATCCCAGGGTCCTGGGATCGAGCTCCGCGTCGGGCTCCCTGCTCAGCGGGAAGCCTGCTTCTCCCTCTGCCTTTGCCCCCGGCTCATGCTCGCTCGTTCTCAAATAAATAAAATCTTAAAAAAAAAAAAAATTCCAGGAGGTTCCAAATCAGAAATAATGGGAACAGGGTGGGGGAGAGAGCAGGAGTCTGAGGGACCTTGCACTGGGAATATCTCCATCTTTTTGGGGTTCTGAACGGCGTGACTGCTGACAACGATTTGCACTTGGCTGTGGGCATCCACAGGGGAAGAGGGAGGCTGGCTGAGCTGTCCCAAAGCCCCACACAGCCTGCCTTTCGAGGGACGGGGCACGGGAGGTGGGGGTGCAGGGGAGGGGGCCAGCTCCGAGCGGGGTTGGGGATGCCCCACGCGCTTGGGCCACGGACACAAACTTTTCTCTCTGTCCTCACTCTGCAGCCACCTAAATCTGAGTGTTAAAAGAACATGTGTGTGCTCACAACCCACACACGTGTGTGCCCAGGGCACCTCCCTGGCCCCCTGGCCCCAGTGCAGGTGACCACGGCCATGAGCGCCTGCAGGCAGCCACAGCTGAGGACCCGGCCAACGCAGACACGGGGAGAGGGCGGGGTGCTGTCAGAGACAGGTGGCTCTCGGGGACGAACCCCACAAGGGGCCTATAACCCCCAGCCGTGTGAGCACACGGCATCAAGGGGCTGTGGCCACGGGGCTTATGGTGAGGACACCTTCTCACCCAATCCATCCCCCTCCTTCCCGTCGGCCGACACAGAGCCCCAGGCCTGGTGCCACAGGGCTCCCCCAAAGCAGGTGGAGAGGTCCTCGGACACCGCCACCCAACGTCCAACGTCCACCATGGGCCACACCTGAAGTACAAACCCAAACACGGCCAAACCCCCGACAGCTTCGCCCAGAAGTGGGTCCTCGGCATCAACTGTCCCTTCACGTACCCTGGACACAGCACAGAGCAGGGAGCCTGACTCGCAGGCTTGGGGGACCCTCCCCCCACCTGACCGAAGGCCCCCCACCCAGCTGCTGGCCCTCTGCTGTCCAGGGCCCAGGAAGATGTGGTAATCGCCTCTCATTCTCCATGAGTTCGGAGCTTCCCCCAGCTGAGCAAGAGCTGGGCCCCCTGTGCTGGGCTTGGGGCTGATGCACCTGCTGGAAACGCCCAGCCTTCACATCACTCCATCAGACCACCCAGCCTGTGTCCGGTCCCCTGATACCCCACTTCCAAGAGGGACAGAGCCACCAGCCAGAGAAAGCCCAGGGAGCTTCACCAGGTACCCCACCCCCAAGGTCAGACCTACGAATCCTGCTCGGAAACTGTCAGGTGATCAGGGACGTGCTCCCTCCAGCCAGGCCCCTGCCCATTTCACGGAGAGAGAAACCGAGGCCTAGGTCGGCCCCCGCCCCAGCACTCAACTCCCCAGAGCTACCAGAGCCCCCTGTTCACAGGGCACCCCTGGTGGCCACCCTGCCCCAGATGTCACGTTCCAAACCCACTAACCCCACCAGAGAAGTTTCCAGACTCCCAGCAGTTTCATCTGCCACCAGTTCTGTCCCCAAACGTGCATCAAAACCATGGGCTTGCAAAACCCTGACATCACCCTCTCGTCCTGCTTGTGTCCCCACACAGGGCTTCAGTGGGCACAGGAGCCTCTCCAGGTCCCACCCGACCCCAGCTGATCCGATCAGGATTTCTGGAGCTACACCCCGGAGCGGGCTGGCGCTCCCCAGACGTCTCGAACCCCATCAACAGCCGCCCCAAAGCCCTTGCAAGCGCTCTCTCTGCAAAACCCTGGAGAGGTGCCACCTAGCGCCCGCGGTGTGCCGGGACCCCAGCGCAGCCCCAGTCCCTGTGTAGCAGCTGAGGACGGGGGCCTCACCCAGAAAGGCCACAGGGGCTTCTCAGAGGAGAACGAGAAACACGGGAAGACAAGGCTAGCAAGCCAGCACCCACACCAAATCCCCCATGCTGGCTCTGGGCCCCACAACCCCCAGGGACTCCCTGCGGTGGGCCTCAGGGCCTGGAGCACCCGCCTCTCTGCCTGCTCCAGACTCACCGGCCACAAAGCCTGAGTCCCTGTCATCAAGGCCTCCTTCCCGCTGAGTGTCGACCGCCCGCGGGCCCCAGCGGCCTCACCCCCCGACCACACAGCCAGGGACCCCCAGGTAGGGCCCCGGGGCAAGGGCTTACCGATCACACTCTTGGCGAAGGACGCTCTCTTGAGAGTGGCCAGGCCCAAGTCGCCGATCTTCACGGAGCCGGTGGGCCCTGTGATGAAGATGTTGTCGCACTTGAGGTCCCGGTGGATGATGGGGGGCGTCCTGGTGTGCAGGAAGAGCAACCCCTTCAGGATCTGCCGGCACCAGCTGCGGAGCACCTTGGGCTTCATCACCTTGAACCGCTTCAGGTACCTGCGGGGGGGGGGGGGGGGCGGGGGGGCGCGGCTCACCAGCGGCTCCCGTCGCCGGGGGGCCGTGGAGTCACCACCCGGACGGGGACATTCCTGAGACAGGCCCTGGCAGACGGGAGGCCCGGCGTCCCCGCCTCCGCGGCCCCTGCGCCCGGACCCGGCCCGCCCCAGGGTCCGGCCAGCGGGTGGGGGCGTGCTCACGTCTTCAGCGTCCCCGAGGTCATCAGCTCGGTCACCAGCACAATGCACCTCTTGCCCCTGGCGCTGGACTCCCAGAAGTCATAGAAGCGCACGATGTTGGGGTGCTGCAGGCCCTTGAGCATCTCGGCCTCCTCCTTGAACCGCTGCCTCTCCAGCTTGGTGAGCTTCCGGTCCTGGAGAGAGACACAGGCTGAGGGGCAGCGGCCACCTCAGCAGACACCCTCCACGGAGCCCGGGGGCCCAGGAGGGAACCCACCGGCCACCCCGCGGCTCCATGTGTGAGGACACAGCAGAGGGAGAGGGCCAGGCGCCGGGGCCGCATGGCCCAGTCCCTCTGTGGCGTCCTCCCACACCCAACCCCAAAGCCTCGTGGCCCTGGATGAGCCCCTGCAAAGGACCTCAGCAGAAAGAGACAGCAGAAAACCCACACGGCAGCACTCACGCTCTCCCCGAGAAAACACCTCCAAGGCCTCACGTCCTCAACACCCGCTTTGTGAGCCGTCACAAGAAAGACACTGGTTCGGTTCCAGTTTACACGCAACTCCGAGGACATGTTCACGGCCAGAGCAGACGGGAACCGGAAAACCAGGGCCCCCGCCGGGCCCTGTGGTGCTGGGGGGCACGGCAGACACGCCTCCTGGGTCTGCGCTGACCCCGACCGCAAGTTCACACAGGACACAGCAGCACCACCATCGGGGGCTGGGAGTCCCTGTGGGGGCCGCCCACACGAGGCTCCAGCCATGCCCCACGAGGAAGACCGCCAACACCCTCCCCACCCTCGAACCCACCCTCAGTGCCCTCCCTGCGCGCCCCGCCCCCACCTGCCACCACCCAGCCCTACCTGTCGGGCTGCACCTGCAGCCTGCGTGGCCCTTCCAGACACCCTCCAGTGGGCTCTCACCACAGAGCGCTCGGAATCACCCCAGAGCTCTGTCGTTTCCAGCCTCGTCCCACAGGGAGCCGCACCTCTGCAGGCCCCAGGGTGGCCGCCTCCCTGCACCTGCGCCTCCCACCAGCCCTGCCCCCCGCAGAGTAAGGAGACACCAGGAGAACCATCGCACGGCTGACCCCAGAAAAACACAGAATTCGGGGACAGAGGCAACTTCAATCTAGTTCATGTGCTCACGGGGATCGAGGAGGCTGACACACATTAAGTAAGCAAGATTCTACTTAAAAAGGAACAGTCAAGGGGCACCTGGGTGGTTCAGTCGGCTGAGCGTCCGACTCTTGATTTCGGCTCAGGTCATGATCTCAGGGTCCTGAGAATGTCAGGCTCTGCGCTCAGTGGAGAGTCTGCTGGAGATTCTCTCCCCTGCTCCTCCCCCCATTTGTGCTCTAAATAAATAAATAATAAATAAATAAATAAATAAAACCTTTTTTTAAAAAAAGGAACAATCAAGAAAGTGCTCTTGGGGCGCCTGGGTGGCTCAGTCAGTTAAGTGTCTGCCTTTGGCTCAGGTCATGATCCCAGGGTCCTGGGATCGAGCCCCGCATTGAGCTCCCTGCTCAGCCAGGAGCCTGCTTCTCCCTCTTCCACTCCCCCTGCTTGTGTTCCCTCTCTCGCTGTGTCTCTGTCAAATAAATAAAACCTTAAAAAAAAAAAAAAAAAGAAAGTGCTCTTGCAAATTAAGCCTCCAGTTTCAAAATAAGATATTCTGCAATAGAGTGAAACATTACGTACAAAAACATCAACATTTGATCCAGACACCAACATGGAAACATGCTCCACTCAGCAAAAATTATGGCTTATTTAAGAAAAGTCAAGCCACAGGGGCGCCCAGGTGGCTCAGTCGTGAAGCGTTTGCCTTCGGCTCAGGTCATGATCCCGGGGTCCTGGGGTCAAGCCCCGCATCGGGCTCCTTGCTCAGAGGGAGGCCTGCTTCTCCCTCACCCACTCCCCCTGCTTGTGTTCCCTCTCTCATTGTTACTCTCTGTCAAATGGATAAATAAAATCTTTAAAAAAAAAAAGAAAGCCACAGACTGGAGAAACTATTCTCAATAATGTATCTGACAAGGGACTTCATCCAGAACACAGAACTACAATTCCATAATAAAAAAAGGTGTGAACAGGTAAGATGGAGAAACGGCCAACAAGCACGTGACAAGGCGCTCGCCATCCTGAGTCACTAGGAAAATGCCAATTCCAGCCTGGAGATGCCACCTGATGCCCAGCAGCAGGTCAAAGTAAAAGGAGGCTGGTTCCAACCGCTGGGTGGCTGGGAGCAGCTGAGGCTCCGGACACATGGCTGCCGGACATGCAAGGGGGCACCAGCAGGGTCCACACCTGCTCCAGGCCCAGCCCCTGCCCTCCAGGTACCCACGCAGGATGGCACATGAGCAGCTCAGAATGATGTGGGAACAAAGGCAGAAGAGGAATTACTAAATTTCTTTACTCCCTACAGCCCACTGACAAGTCCTTGAAACAGGCAGAGTGACCTTCCTCTAGGGACTCAACTGCCTCAATATTAATACTTTGCTAAGGGCAAAAGGCAATCCTAGCCTGAGCCCCCTCCACCCCACCCCCAAGAATTCCTTTGGAAACTTCCTTTCTCTCTTACCCCCAAGATACGTGTTGGCAATCATCCCCCAAGCATACGGCCCACCGATATACATCTGGAAGGGTCTCATGACTCAGGTTTTATTAGACAGTAATAAATGACATTTTCCCAACAACAGCTAGCCCCCCCAAGGTCCTGGAAACCTCGCTTCCAAAATTCCTTAGACACTTACGTTATCCCTAACCCCCTCCCAACTTGAAAGTATCTAATGGGCCACTCCTCCTGACCCCACTACAGTTCTTTCTGCCCACGGGTCCTGTCCCTGTGCTTTAATAAAACCACCTTTTTGCACCAAAGACGTCTCAAGAATTCTTTCTTGGCCGTCGACTTCAAATTCTAATAACGTCTTTCCTACATCAAGAACAGCACCAAACTCCCGGAAAAGCAGAGCTGACATGTGGCTGAGGTGGAGGATGCTCACCTCTGGGGCTGGCCTGGGGGGGGGGGGTGGGATGCAGGAGCTGGGAACGGGGGGGGGGCAGCGAGAACTTGTACGTCCTCATAGAGGATGCGGGTCACACAAGTGTGCACAGCTCACCCACTCGGACACTTAGGATCTGAATCTCATATGTAAGTAATAGCTCAGTTTTTTAAGCATCAAAAATTAAAGTGAAAACATCCAGTAACTGAATCAGAACAACAGAAGAGATGTGAACAAAGCAGCAACAGCGGGAAGCCGGCACCGGGGAGGAGGAGACAGCAGAACGGCATCTCCCGAGCTGGACAGTGAGCCGACGGTGAGCCGCTCCGCTCCGCTCCGCTCCGGTGAGGGTGTGTGGCAGCCAGGCCAGGCCCTCCCAGCGAAATGCAGACGCCCGAGGACAGAGGGCAAGTCCCACCTGAAGAGCACCCAGCCAAACGGACATCAAACCACGCAGCCCGCGACATCTTCTCTCCCACGTGACAACCAAAGCTTCCTTCTGGCACCCCTGGTCCAGCCGCACTGCAAGCATGCCCACAAATCCCAACACAACCCAGTGAAAGGGGTTGCAGCAAAGCTGGCCGCCAGGCCCAGCCACGTGGGGGAGGAGGGCCGGGCGCCGGGGTGTTCCCCACCCCCACAGGCTTCTGCATCGAGCATCACAGACTCCCTTCCAACCAACCACCGTCTGGAGGAAACTCAGAATGCTTTACATGCCGCATTTCGGCATCACTCGGCAGAAGGGAGAGACGTCACTGGACTTTCAGAGAAAAGTGTGTGTCATAAACGTCATAACTAACAAGCCCCAAGGCCCCAGAGGGAGAGGAGGGTGCCCCGCGGATGCCAAAGGGGATAAATCCAAGACTCAGCGGGAACGTGGTCAGACTTCCAGGACGGTGCCTCTCGGGCTGCGCTGGGCCTGGTCGTGGGAGGCGGGAGGGAGCAGACCTCATTTATATTCTAAGCCACCTGGCTATTTTCAACTACGTGACACACCGCTTGATAATTTAAAAGGTCAGCTAGCATGTCATCAGAGCACTGCCCAGTGCCCCTCACAGAGCTGGCCCCGGTCCTGGTCACTGTGTGCTGATGGCTGGTCAGCCCCATCAGATCAGCAACACCACGGCGGGAGTTTCACTCTTTGTGGACGAAGTCTGAACTGATGCACTGGGACGCCTCGAGGTCATGAGCCAGGGCAGGAGGAAATACCCCCAGTCCTGCCGGAGTCAGGCTGTTCCTGCATGGGGTGGGGTCCGGCTGGACAGGTCACCCCACCAGACACAGGAGAGGTCCCACCCCCCAGGTGCCCCAAAGATAGTGGGAGTCCATCAGATAGAGGATAAAAGCCTTCTGGCATAATGCTGTCTCGTCTCCTGTAGAAAAAGGGCCTAGCCAGTCAGGGGCAGCACCCTCCGAGCAGGGGCACGCAGCCCGGTGGTCAGAGCCCTGGGTCCGACGGGCCTCTCCCACACAACCCGGGGTCCAGCAGCTCTGCCCAAACAGAGGCGACAGGTGAAGTCCTCTGACCCAGCAGGCCCCCGGCTGCCTCTGGGGCTTCTGCAGCCCTCTCCTCAGCCAGGCAATGCCCAACCAACCCTGTGAGGAGCAGAGCTGCCCGGCCCCCCGAGCCCACGCAGGCGAAGGCGAAGGTGAAGGCGGGGTCCACACACAGAGGACAGAGAGGGGGCATGAGCAGCTAAAAGGATGGTGCCCAGACTCAGCAAAGCCAGAGTCCTGGGGCGACGAGCGGGCATGCGCCCTCTCTCCAGCCCATCTGGTCGTAAATCAAAGCAAAAGAAAGCCTGAGGACCTCTGCTGAGAACTGTCCCAAGTCAGGGAATCGGCCCAGGACGGGGGCTCCAGGGACGGCTGACCCAGGATGAGGGTCTCTGTAATCCCTAGCCCCCCGCCCCGTGCGAGGGCCCCTCCCAGGCCTGGGGGCCGTGCCGCAGGCTCCCCGGGCTGCTGCGTTCTTCACCCAAAGCGGGGAGGTGGTGCAGGGTCTGGGGCGTCCTTGGGGTGGTGACCGCATGGAGGGAACACGGGCATCTGCCTCACTCGGTCACCAGATGGTCACTGAGGCTCTGGGTGTGCAGGAAGGACCGGGGGAGGGGGGTGTACAAACACACAATCACACCGTCTGAAAACCAGGGTGAAGGGACAGGCGGGCGGCGCTGGCCACCCCCCACCGGGG